GGTTGGCGTCTGACACCCCCCACATGAGGGGGTGAAGGGAAGAGAGGCCAGGAAGAAGATCTAACCTTCCTTCTGGAAAAAGCTGGTGCCTGGCCCTCTTCTCTGTGTCCTTGGAGACCAGGGGACAGGCACCGGCACACTTGTACACATATGTGGACACGCAGGCACGGGAGGGCACATGCATCTTGGTGACCAAATCTGGAGGAGACAGACCCAGGTGGTCAGGCGGCCAGATCGTGAAGTGGTCAGGATCCTTCCTGTCCTTCTTGAGGCTGGCACAGCCCAGACGCCGGCTGATATCACAGCGGCCCAGACCCCTTCCTCTTTGGGAACCCTTCCCCTCCCCCCCCCACTAGCTTCCTCTTTCCCATCACGTCCTCCCTGGGCCTGGAGGGAGTAGACTACCACTCATTGTCCTGTTTCCGCCCCAGGAGCTACTCCAGGCCAGCCGGGCCCCCTCTGCCCGCCCTGTCTGTCCGGCACGCCTGTCCCTGACAGGCCCAGCCATGATTCTCTCTGTGCATCCTGCATTACGGCTGCGTCTCGGGGGTGATCTTCCCCTGTGCAGCCCACGCCATGGCTGTCTCTGGGCCTGGGATGCAACTCACAGGTCTTTAGAGCACTGAATGGGGCAGCCAGCGGTGTTTCTAGAAGCATAAAAATACCCTCAACCTGAGGCCCCTCCACCCCACCCGCCCGACTCAGGCAGCACTTCCTCTGCCCTGACAGGAAATGAGCTGGAGTCTCAGCCTCCCGCCATCTCGAGGCAACTTCTTGTTTCCCTCTTGCCCTGTGCCAGCACTGGGGTAGTGCCCCTGGGCTCCACCCCCAAAACCTTCCCAGGGCTCTGTCCCAAAGGCTCAGGGGGCCAGGATGGTGGACATGATCGCCAAAGTGACCAGGAGGCAGAGTCGAGCCTTGCCGGCACAGGTAGGGGATGCTGGGGGTCAAGGGGTGCCGGGTGAGCCTCCACCCCAAGCCCTATTAGGAGCTGGGTGAGCTGGGGCTCAGAGCAGTGAGCCTCTTGGAAGTTGGGGTTCATCCTTCCTTTTCTCTTTCCTTCTCAGAGGCCCTGCCCATCCAAGAAGTGACAACAGCGGCAGGGCTGCCACCTGCTTGTGGACAGGGAGGGAATTGGAGACAAGGGGTGAACCTCTGCAAGGAAGTGCCAGGGTGCTGGGCGGCTGGGGCCTGACAGCGGGGGCCTCTTGGCTCCTCCTCTGGCCTGCGGTGGGAAGGCCACTTCTCGTCTCTAAGATGTGACTCAAGAGCCGCTGGTCCCATAATCAGGCCCCTGCGTATGAGCTGCCTCTGGGTCTTGTCTGGGCCCCCATGAGCAGGAGCAAGGAGGAGGGTAGGGGTGGCAGGCGCTGCTGTAAGTCCTTGAAGGCCAGAGGATGTGGAGGGCGTGACCACACCTGCCCCAGGAGCTGGTGAGAACCCAGCTGAGGCTCCGCCGGGAGAGGAGTGCATCTCTAGGTCAGCAATGCGGGGCTCTGTGGAGAGTTCTAGAGTTGGAAGGGACCTGAAGGACGCTGCCGTTCGACGCCCACCACAGCGCTGTCACTTCCCTAACCAGGAGTGGACTCTGCTCAGTCACCTCCAGTGAGGGCCCCTCTACTTCCAGAGGCAGCCTGTGTTCTGGGAGCCCCAGTCCCCAGAATGCTTCCTTCAGAGGAGCACTGCTCTGCCCCTGAAGCGTGATGCCACGTCTTCTCTTCCTTGTGACAGCTCTGTCATGCTGGGGACCTAAACTTCTCCCTCCCAAATCTCCTCTGTCCCTGCTGGGGATATTTCTTTTTTTTCTTTTTCTTTTTCTTTTTCTTTTTTTTTTTTTTTTGGGACGGAGTTTCGCTCTTGTTACCCAGGCTGGAGTGCAATGGCGCGATCTCGGCTCACCGCAACCTCCGCCTCCCGGGTTCAGGCAATTCTCCTGCCTCAGCCTCCTGAGTAGCTGGGATTACAGGCACGCGCCACCACGCCCAGCTAATTTTTTGTATTTTTAGTAGAGACGGGGTTTCACTATGTTGACCAGGATGCTCTCGATCTCTTGACTTTGTGATCTACCCACCTCGGCCTCCCAAAGTGCTGGGATTACAGGCGTGAGCCACCGCGCCCGGCCCCACTGCAGGGGATATTCCTTTGTGTGAGGACCCCCTCAGCCTCACTGGCCTGGGACTCCTTATGGACTCAGAGCCATGGCCCCCAGCCTGCCAAGTAGAAATTCCTGCTCCAAGGAGGAATTCCTGCTCCTTCATCCGCTCTTCCACCCCTGGTGGGGCCTTTCAACCCCTGCCCCAGTGGGTTCAGCTAGGAGGATGGGAGGTGTGTCCAGTTCCTCTGCCTTCCTCTTGCTGCTGCTTCCATCCGGCCCTCCCCAGGAATCTCCTGGTTTCAACCCTCCTCTTCAGAAAGTTCAAGCTCATTCCAGGCTCTCCTGTAGCGTCAGGCGTGTTTGTTGCTGAAGTTTGGCATGGGTTAGACTTGTGTACTCAAGCAGTAAATGTAGCAGACCTGCTGTGTGCTTCAGGGTGTTGGCCCAGCTGCTGGGGGGCAAATGGAATCAGCTACATTATCCCTAGTCTTGCTCTCAAGAAAATCCTGCCTTTAGGGGCACAGAAGGTGGGCAGATGGCTGGACAACTGGCTGCCCACCATGGCAGAACGCCATTGGGCCCTAACAGAGCAGTGAGCAGAGAGCCAGCAGGTTTGACCTCTCCCTGGAGAGGCTTCTCAGCTGAGTACCACGGGAGAGCAGGGTTTGGGTAGGCAGAGAACCAGAGGAGGGAATTCCAGGCTGACGGAACGGCTGGAGCAAAGGCATGGAGGTGGGAGGATGCCTTTTGTGTTGAGGGCTAGTGAGAAGCCTGTTGTGCTTGGACTACAGGTTGCCACATGAGGGCTGCGGTGCCCTCTATGAAAGGATAAGGGTGGAGGGTCCCCTCTCAGCCACACAGGAGCCTGGAGGAAGTGGAGAGCAGCAAAGAACTGATGGACTGCCATCCCCAGCTCTCCCAGCCCCCCGGGCACCTGGGGATCCTCACCCTGTCTAAAACTGTACCATTCTCTTCTTTCACAGTGTTTTCATTTCTTGCTTAGCAGTGACCATGACGTGCTGTCCATGTTGTCACCCCCGACATTGACACACAGGTGCACTTGAGCACCAGCCCAGTGGGGGAGGGATTTTAGTGTCCCTTTGTTCACTGCCGTATTCCCTGTGCCTCCAACCATGCCTGGCACAGAGCAGGTGATGAATCCATGTTGGGTGCATGAATGTTCTTCTTTCCTTCTTTTTGTTGGTTTGGTTTGCTTTGCTTTTTTAGCATCAGTTTGATGAAAAATGAATGTTTTTTTGTTTTGTTTGTTCAGGCATCTGACTAAGGCTCAGGGAGAGGCCACCTTGAACAGGTGCTTCCTCTTTCGAGGAGTTTACAGCTTAGTGACGGTGTCACAGTCAGCAGAGGAACTTCTGTGATTTTTAAAAGAGTTTTGTAGTAGAAAATGTTGAGGCTGCAGAAAACTTCAAAGAAAACAAAACAAAAACAAATAAACCCCTATAATCACAGTGCTCAGAGAGGACCTTCGGTAGCATTCTGGAAGGTTTCCAAAAAAAACATATTAAAATTTGGAAATCCGCTTTCCCCTTGAAGCGTTGTGTATGCTTAGAAAATAGTAGTAATCTCCGAATGCCATGCTGCTGCCTGGGGTCTAAGAATGTAGTCATCTGTCCCTCTGCAGGGCTGCAGGTGCTAGGCTGAATGTGGAGGTACAGGGACAAGGGGAATCTTGGGAAAAGGCTGGAACCTGGCACCTGAACTGAGTCCTGAAGAAGGAATCAGAGTTGACCAGGCAAAAAAGGGGTGGAGGCAGGCCTGGGTAGGCCGCAGATGAGCCTCCGCCTGGAGGAAATGCAGCAGGGAGGGTGGGGATCACCCCCGAGTACACAGTGGTGCTACTGGAGCTTAAAGTTCGAGGCAAAGGGCAAGGAGTGGCAGGAAATAATAGTGGAAGTGTGGGCCGGTGAGGGACTGTCTCTTGTGTCTGGTTAAGGGCTTACTTAGACTTTGCCCTGCAACTAGCAGGAAGTTCTGAGGTGTGAATCAGGAGAGCCTCTGTTCTGGGAGACTTAAGCATGGCCAGGTTTATTTTCTATGTGATTGAACCCCCAGCTGCCCTCACTCTCCTTTGGGGTGGGGGGAAACTATTCACATCTCTTTGCCCCTCCGTTCTCCAGCCCATCTGGCCGTCCTCTCTCCCTCTCTTGTCTGGAATTGAATCTGATACCTGCAAACGTCACCTTGGAAAGTTCAGTTCCCAAACTCAGGCATGGTACTGATTCCAATCCCAGAGCTTTCTGGGCTGGCAGGGAGGTGGGGTAGGAGCTCTCAGTGGGGCTTTAAGAATGCAGCATGCCGTTGAATGGGCACCACAAATGGGCACGCCCCAGGCAACTTCTCAGTTCCTACCCAACCTCTGACTTGCCTCTGTGAGAACTGGGTTATCGATGTTTTATTATTGTTGATAAATCTAATTAATGGAATTGACACACCCATCTGGGGCACTAAATACATTACAAAGCACTTTCAATAACACTTCCTCATTCACTCTTCACTACAGTTTCTGAAATGGGCAGAGCAGACATTTCACACCCAGGAAACTGAGGCAGAGAAGTAGTGTGACTTTCTGAAGGTCACCCAAAGGGCTAACGCTCAGTGAGAGGCCACTTTGAACAGGTACTTCCCCTTTCAAGGAGTTTACAGCCTAGTGATGGTGTCATAGTCAGCAGAACTTCTGATTTTTTTCTTTACGTCTTTATTTTTTCTTTTGGAACTTCTGATTTTTAAAAGGCTTTATTGTGCAAAATTTTGAGGCTGCAGGAAAGCTTAAACAAAACAAAACAAAACAAAAACAAATAAACCCCTATAATCGCACTGCCCAGATGGGACCTCTGTTAGCATTTTGGAAGGCTTCTGAAAACACAAAGGCTTTCTCCTCCCGCAGGTGGACGACCCCCCGGAGCCCGTGTACGCGAACATAGAAAGGCATCCCGGGGCCACTTCGCCGGGCGCCTCAGCGGTCCCTCTTCCCAGCCCGGTGTGGGAGACGCACACGGACGCGGGCACCGGGCGCCTCTACTACTACAACCCGGACACAGGCGTTACCACCTGGGAGTCGCCCTTTGAGGCTGCCGAGGGCGCTGCCAGCCCAGCCACCTCCCCTGCCTCAGTGGGCAGCCACGTGAGCTTCGAGACCGAGTGGGGCCAATACTGGGACGAGGAGAGCCGCAGGGTGTTCTTCTACAACCCGCTGACGGGCGAGACGGCCTGGGAAGACGAGGCCGAAGACGAGCCGGAGGAGCTGGAGATGCAGCCGGGCCTGAGTCCTGGCAGCCCTAGGAACCCACGGGTGAGGGGCGGGGCTGGAGTGGGCGGGGCTATCCTCTGAACGCCTCTGACCCCGCCTCCTGCTCCCAGAGGCCCCGGGACACACCGGTGAGGGGCGGGACTTGGTGGGCGGGGCTCCTTCTGAATACCTGTGACCTCGTCTCTTGCTCCCACAGACCCAGGGACGAGCGAATAAGGGGCGAGGCCTGGGTGGGCGGGGCTACCTCTGCCTCCGACCCCGCCTCCTGCTCCCACAGCCTCGGAGACCAGCGGGCAAGCGGGTGTGTCTGGTCCAAAAGGGCAGGGCCAGCAGGCAGTATTAGCACTCAGAGCCTCTGACTCCATCTTCTGCTCCTCGCAGCCCCCCACCCCCGAGACTGACTACCCCGAGTCGCTGACCAGTTACCCTGAGGAGGACTATTCTCCCGTGGGCTCCTTCAGTGAGCCCGGCCCCACTTCTCCCTTGTCCACACCTCCCGGCTGGTCATGTCACGTCAGCCAGGACAAGCAGACGGTCTACACCAACCACTTCACCCAGGAGCAGGTAGGAGTCCTCACTAATAGCTCGCCTTAGTGCTCTAAACTGCAGCGCAAACCAGCCAAGTGCAGTCGCCTGCACCTCCCCCTCCAGATTCCCTGGTGCTGTCTTGGAACCTGGTTAGAGGGAACCTTTCCCTTCCCTTTCATGAGCCAGGCTGGGAGCCCTGACAGTTCCTCTCCCCACAGTGGGTGAGGCTGGAGGACCCCCATGGGAAGCCATACTTCTACAACCCAGAGGACTCCTCCGTTCGATGGGAGCTGCCCCAGGTAACAACCTGGGGAAAGGGGGGTGCTGGGGAGAGAGAAAGGGATCACATATGATTGTGTCTTTCTCCCCAGGTCCCTGTCCCTGCCCCTCGAAGCATCCATAAATCCAGCCAGGACAGTGACATCCCAGCCCAGGGCAGCCCTCCAGAGGAGAAGGTAGGGGAGGAGGCATTCAGGTTCTGGCAGGACCACCACAGAAGCAGTTGGGGGCTTCTGGAGGTCCTGGGAGGAGGAACTGGGTGGAATATATCTGTCTCCCCCATAGGTCCCAGCAGAGTTGGATGAGGTTGGGAACTGGGAGGAAATATCTCCTGCCACAGCTGCTGTGAGGGTAGGCATCACCGCCCCCGCCCCCCACCCCCCAGCCAGGTGTTGGGGCTGACGAGGAGGGTTCAGTGGAGACAGGCCCAGACCATAAAAAGCGACAGCTGAGCAGGACACCAGCGTCTGCTCCCCATAGCTCACTCCTTAATTACCCACTCTTTCCCGTTCTCTCTTAGACCAAGACCTTGGACAAGGCAGGGGTGCTCCATCGCACCAAGACGGCAGACAAGGGAAAGCGGCTCCGGTGAGAGCCTGTCTACATCCAGGCCGGGGCAGGGTGGGCCCTGGTGATGATGTTCACTGAGTACTTCCTGTATGCCAGGCTCTTATTAATCCTCACATCAACTTCATGAGTGGTCCTCTGTGGACACTGAGGCACTGCAAGATAAAGCGACTTGCTCGAGGTCCCGTGGCTGCTAGGTGTTAGAGTCGGGATTCCAGCCCTTGTAGTGGGGTGCCCCAGCCTGTGTTCCTAAGCTCTGGCTTGTTCCTGGGGTGAGAGGAGGCCCTCAGCTCAGGATCAAATCTAAGTCCTGCCACCCCCACTTCCCCACCCCCACCTAGGAAGAAGCACTGGAGCGCCTCCTGGACGGTGCTGGAGGGTGGCGTCCTGACATTCTTCAAGGACTCAAAGACCTCAGCTGCAGGCGGCCTGGTGAGGCCAGGTCCCCAGGGCAGGGACCATCACGTCTTCTCTCTCTCTCTCTTTTTTTTTTTTTTTTGAGACAGAGTCTCACTCTGTCACCCAGGCTGGAGTGCAGTGGTGTGATCTCAGCTCACTGCAACCTCTGCCTCCTGAGTTCTCCTGCCTCAGCTTCTCGAGTAGCTGGGACTACAGGCATGTGCCACCATGCCTGGCTAGTATTTGTATTTTTAGTAGAGACAAGATTTCACTATGTTGGCCAGGCTGGTCCTGGACTCCTGACCTCAGGTGATCCACCCACGTTGGCCTCCCAAAGTGCTGGGATTACAGGCATGAGCCACTGTGCCTAGCCCCTATTCTGCTCTATTTAATCTGGCTAGGAGATGACCAGGTCTGAGAGAGTGGTCCATGAGTTAGAGGAGCTGGGCCTTGGCAGGGAAGGGGTGATGCTGGCAGATTCATTCCAACACAAGCAGTTTCAGCCCCTGGGAGATGGAGAACAGTCTTGAGGGTGGCCAGCTCCAGCCTGGAGGGCAGGGAGGCTGGGGGCGGATACACCTCTTTGTGGGGATGCAGGCTGTGCTCTTTTCCTGTCCTCCCTGGGAGGGTGAGCAGCAGTGGACATGCCAGCCAGCAGTTAAGAAGCATCAGGGTCTCTGGGTCCAGGAACCCTTGGGGCTCTTTCCCCCAGAGTTGTTTCCTGGCCATGCCAGTGACCCCATCCTATTCCTAGAGCCAGAGTGCCACAGCAGACACATCTGAGCCAAGGGCTACCTGTGACCTTCCTTCTCCTCCCACAGAGGCAGCCTTCCAAGTTTTCCACCCCTGAGTACACAGTGGAGCTGAGGGGGGCCTCTCTCTCCTGGGCCCCCAAAGACAAATCCAGTAAGAAGAATGTGCTCGAGGTGAGTGGTGGGGGTGGGGAGGAGGGAAGGGGCTTAGGGATGCCTGCCAGCCCTCTGATAACCATCTGGAAATGACCTGGAGCTTTTTGACCCTTAATTCCCTGTGAGCCAACACTGAGTGCAGCTTTTGGCTGTATTAGTAGAGGTAGGAATCCAGAGCTAGAGAGGTGACATTGGTGCAGTTGTGGGCAGTGCTCTGGGACCCTTACTATAGGCAAGCCCCAAGAAGGAGGACCTGGGAAGAATCGGGGCTACCATTCTCAGGGCTCAAGGCCAACACTGCCCCCCTCCCCCCAGGGGACCTGTCCTGTGTTTCTGGCATCACAGATTCTGCAGTTCCCTCTCCAGGAGCTGAGTTAATAATAATCCTTGCCCTGGAGGGTGATGAGGAGTAAGGCCTCCGGGAGAGGAAATTCTCATGCCTGGAATGGCAGCCCTCAACCCAGCCTGAGAGAGACAGGAGGCTCCCTGTCCCTGGCCGCTTACTGTGACAGGCCTGGTTGGGAAACCTCTTTCTCCCTAGGTCTCCTTCCCTGCCTCTGAGCCACAACCCCATTTCCAGCCGGACTGCATCCCCAGAGAATAAACTGGGGCAGTGGGCAAGACTCCCAGGCGACCCCCACAGGAAGGGAGAGAAGACCCAAAAGGGTTCTCCAGTGCCACAGCCTTCACCATCCACGTGTTGTCTGGTTTTTAAACTGCTTTTATCCTGACCTCAGTCCCTAGAAGGTTTGAGGCAGATCACAACAAAAACACTGGCAAATTCCCTGGTGAACTGGCAAATTCACTGAGAAGCCAGGACCATGAAACACAAGTTAGAGATGAGGCTCAAGATGGAGCGGAATTGGGGGGCAGACGACGTACGGGTGCTAAGGTGGTTGTGAAAGAAAACTTAGCTCCGACTTTCCTGCTGGGTAAGGTGAAAAGAGAAGGCCTATCAGGTGCATGTCTCTTTGTCATTGAAAAGCTAGTAAATCCCACCCAGATGTTGAGGGAATCAAAGCTTTTTCCTAACCCTTCACTCTTAAATTTATTGCGTTAGCTCCTTCAACATGGGATCTAGAAGGACGAGGCAGGTACTCTGCAAAACAGCTCCAGGGAGGCTTAATTCAGGATCTGGGCTGCTTCAGGCAGCTTGATTATGATGAAGACCAACGGCATGATCTCGTGTCCGAGCCCAGAAAAAGCAGTTCTGCACGGAACCTGAGTGTGTAGTTTCCTGATTGTTCACCAAGCTCCATTCAGTTCTGGAACCAGGATCTCTACAAAGCAAAGTTGGAAAACTGGTTTCATCTCATGAGCTACTCTGATGAGTAGGTCTGGAGTCTTCTGAGGTTTTGTTTTTGGTTTTGTTTTTTGGTTTTGTTTTAAGAGACAGGGTCTTGCTCTGTTGCCCAGGCTGAAGTGCAGCGGTGCGGTCATAGCTCACTGAAGCTGCAAGTCCCTGCGCTCAACCGATCCTCCCACCTAAGGCTTCCTTCTGAGAAGCTAGGACTATAGGCGTGTTCCATCATATCTGGCTAATTTTAGTTTTTATGGAGATGCAGTCTGACTGTGTTGCCTGGGCTGGTCTCAAACTCATGGCCTTAAGTGATCCTCCAGTCTCAGCCTCCCAAAGGGTTGGGATTACAGGCATGAGCCACTGTGCCCAGCCTGGAGCCTCCTTGAGAAGAATTCTGAAGCCTTCTCTCGGCTTGACAGGGTAGAGTTCTGTGATCAGCTAACAGTATCTGCCATGGTGTTAAATTGAGGAGAGACACCACTTTAATTATTATTATTTGAGATGGAGTCTCGCTCTGTCACCCAGGCTGGAGTGCAGTGGTGCAATCTCACCTTGCTACAACTCTGTCTCCTGGGTTCAAGCTATTCTCCTGCCTCAGTCTCCTGAGTAGCTGGGACTACAGGTGCCTGCCAGTATGCCTGGCTAATTTCTTTGTATTTAGCAAAGATGGGTTTTCACCATGTTGGCCAGGCTGGTCTCAAACTCCTGGCTTCAGATGATCTACCCACCTTGGCCTCCCAAAGTGCTGAGATTACAGGTGTAAGCCACCATGCCCAGCCTGAGACATCATCTTTGCTAGGCATGTTTCTCCCCTGACTTTGAGGGATAGGGATGTCCTTCAAACAGTTCTCGATGAAGGTCATCTCTGATGGGCTTTTGATGAAAGTTTCAGAATAGGACTTACTGGGTTGTCTTTGCTGACAAGGACTGGAAGGCAGGTGCTGTTCAGGCCTGTGGGAAGGTGGGCAAGCCTGAGTGGAAATCACCAGCCCCTGCCTCCTGGTTGGCTGCCGGCCATCCTCCCTCTGTGCAGGGCGACCTGTAGGCAGTTCCAGGGTTTTCCTCAAGAGATAGCCCCAAATTTTATATAATTGATGGATGGCTTTGTTGGGTTCAGGAAATTTTCACAGCAGGTCTTCCTAATCACCCCAAAGTCACAGAAAACTTCAGCAACAGTACCCCAAGAGCTGCTAGCATTTGCCTGTGCATTCAACAGGATAAATGTTTTGTTTGTTCTTACAGATAGGGTCTGACTGTGTTGCCCAGGCTGGAGTGCAGTGGCTTAATTGTAGCTCATTGCAACTTCCAATTCCTGGGCTCAAGTGATGCTCCCGCTTCAGCCTCCTGAGTAGCTGGAACTACAGGTGCACACCAGCATGCCTGGCTAATTTTTAAAACTTTTTTTTAGAGATAGGTTCTCACTATATTGCCCAGGCTTGAATTCCTGGCCTCAGGGACTCCTCCCACCTTACCCTCCCAAAGCACTAGGAGTACAGGGATGAGCTGTTACAGCTGGCTGTGGGGTGAATATTTTGTGAAATACATTGCTGCATAATGACACTTTGCTTTCTACATGAAACTTGCAAATATGAACTGATTATGTTTTGAGAGAGCTGCCAACAATCATGGCTGTTGTTTCAGAAGTGCTGTCAAACCATTCTCTGGGATAATTGTCTGCTTTGATTAGAGTGAGGCTGTGTTATCTGCCTCTTGAAGGTTCTCTAGCCTTTGCAGGGAAAGGCTAGGGGTTGGGATATGCCACTTTTCTTTCTTTCTTTCTTTCTTTCTTTCTTTCTTTCTTTCTTTCTTTCTTTCTTTCTTTTTCTTTTTTAAGAAGTTTAAATAGTCTTCAAGAATAAGTTTAAAAGGACAGCCAAAGACAGTCCGTGCTGATTCTAGAAGTTGTTCCCCGGGCTCTGAGACAGTTTCTGCTGTCTCTAATTCTGGCTGAACCGAAAGGCCAGGGTTGGTGTGAGCTGCAGCAGCCAAACATTCGCATTAACCTGGAACACTGGGTCCTCAGAGCCAGAGGCAGATGAGAGATCCATCTAAGCTGTCATCCAACTCAGAAAGGACTCTGAGCATCAGTCCTGTAGTGGCAAGTTTCCCTCTGGCATTTTGTTTAATTTATGCTTCAGGATGAAGTGGGCTATCAGATGTGTTGCCCAGGCTGGAGTGTGGAAGGTGGTAGTTACTCCTGGCTGCAGGAGGTGGGACAATGCTTCTGGGTCCTCAGTGTGTGTATGGGGAGGGACAAGGGGAAACCTTGCTTTCTCTGGATTCAGCCATGATCTGCTTTCAAATCCTCTCTCCTATATTCACTGTTGTGTCTAGTAGACAGGGGTCTCACATAGGAAGTTTCTTTTTTTTCTTTTCTTTTCTTTTCTTTTTTTTTTTTTTTTGAGATGGAGTCTTGCTCTCTTGCCCAGGCTGAAGTGCAATGGTGCAGTGGCATGATCTCAGCTCACCACAATCTCCGCTCCCGGGTTCAAGCACTTCTCCTGCCTCAGCCTCCCAAGCAGCTGGGATTACAGGCGCCCACCACCAAACCCAGCTAATTTTTGCATTTTTTAGTAGAGACAGGGTTTCACCATGTTGGCCAGGCTGGTTTAAAACTCCTGACCTCAAGTGATCTACCTGCCTCAGTCTCCCAAAGTGCTGGGATTCCAGGCGTGAGCCACCGCACCCGGCCTCACATAGGAAGTTTCTTTCACCTAGTTTGCAGGCCAGTGCTCTGCATGAGGCCTGCCATGTTCTGGGGCTTGCAGGGAGGCAGGCTGGGGGAGGGAAAGTATACCAGACAATTGAGCTCAGCTCTGTGCTCGTCACTCACTAGCTGTGTGCCCATGAGGAAGCAGCTAAAACTTGCTGAGCCTGTTTGCTCATCTGTAATACAGAGATGCAGTCACCCACTGCTTTAAGTGATGCAGAAAACCCAAAACTTGGCCTGGGATGAGGCCCTTGCCCCATTAAGCTCTGAGTGCCTGAGGGCAAAAACAGGTCTCCTCTATCTCTGTACCTACCCCTAAATGGGGCCAACCTCCAGGGCAGACCCAGGGTACCAGAGATGACCTAGTGACATGTGTCCCTCCAGCTGCGGAGCCGCGATGGCTCAGAGTACCTGATCCAGCACGACTCGGAGGCCATCATCAGCACCTGGCACAAGGCCATTGCCCAGGGCATCCAGGAGCTGGTAAGCAGAGCCTGGGGCCGATAGGGGCGATGGGGAGAGGGTGGCCACTATGCAAATGTAGTCCCCCACTTAGGCTGGGATGGCAAGGTAGGCTGCTGAGGAAACTGCCTTCCTAAGTCTGTGAATCCAGCCCTGGGTTTAGCCCTACAGGAAGACTCCCCGGGTGAGGGCAAGTGCACACTAGAGGAATTTCCCATTTCACAGGAGGCAGGAGGCCAAATACACACTCTGCAAGCCAACCAATGGCAGACTGAAGCTAGCAGATAAAATTTTAAAGGACTGATTTCAATTGTCAACCACTTTTTTAAGGTTCAAAATACCAATTGCATAAGTAGAGGATAGGTCGGGGCCCCTCTCACAACTATTGACCTGGAAATGACCTGGGGCTTTTTGACCCTTAATTCCCTATGAGCCAACACCGAGTGCGGTTTTGGCTGTATTAATAGAGGTAGGACTCCGGAGCCAGAGAGGTGATGTTGGTGCAGTTATGGGCAGTGGGCCGGCCACAGCTGGAGGTACTGGGTCAGAACTGGGAGCCACATACTGAGGAATGCTGACCTAGTTAGAGGGGCTGAGGAAAATGAGGTCTCTGCACCTTAAGGGCTCCATGCAGCTAAAAGAAGTGAGTGTTCTCAGGCTCACTGGTGGAGGTGAGGGGAGTTAACCCGGTTGGGGGAGAGGACTTTTCTCTGAGGGTCTCCAGGCCACGCCTTTTGGGAGGGCATTTCGAGTCCCTGCCCCATCCTGGAAGGACCCGCAGCTGGCTCAAGGCCCCCCTCTCTGAGGCTGCGGGAATCCAGTCCGCAGAGTTGCCCCCTGAGGAGGAGAGCGAGAGCAGCAGCGTGGACTTCGGGTCGAGTGAGCGCCTGGGAAGCTGGCAGGAGAAGGAGGAAGACGTGCGGCCGAGTGCAGGTGTGCGCAAGGCGGGATGGGCTGGGGGCTCCCAGGAGGCCTCTCCCGGGGTGACCACTGCTGGGACCTTCCCGGCCCACCCCGGCGCCTCCTGACTCAGTCCTGTTCTCCCGCACCGCACCGTAGCCCTGGGCCCCGGGGGTCTGGAGAGCGACTTGAGCAAGGTCCGGCACAAGCTCCGCAAGTTCCTCCAGAGGCGGCCCACACTGCAGTCGCTGCGGGAGAAGGGCTACATCAAAGGTACCCGAGGCCTGCGGGGAACTGGGACCGGGACGGGGCGGCGCAGGCCGGGCGGGCGCTGACGAGCCTCTGCCCTAGACCAGGTGTTCGGCTGCGCGCTGGCCGCGCTGTGTGAGCGTGAGAGGAGCCGAGTGCCGCGCTTCGTGCAGCAATGCATCCGCGCCGTCGAGGCCCGCGGTACGTGCGCTGCGGGGGTGAGGGAGGCAGGCATTGGGGTGCTTGCTCGCCTCCTGCGAGGACCGTAAGCTGGAGACCCCTGGATGGACACCGGGTCCGGGAGAAAGAATGGGAAGTCCCGAGTGGGATTCATAGTAGTGGCCCGTATCCCCACCCTACCCCTCCAACCTGGGGTCAGCGCCTCCCTCTGCCCCAGGTCTGGACATCGACGGGCTGTACCGCATCAGTGGAAACCTGGCCACCATCCAGAAGCTGCGCTATAAAGTGGACCACGGTGAGGCCCGTCCCCATTCCCCTGCCCCAGTGCCTGAAGGCTCGAGGGGTACTGACCTCCTTCGGCCCCTTTCCCTTCCTCTGCCACAGATGAGCGCCTCGACTTGGACGACGGGCGCTGGGAGGACGTCCACGTTATCACCGGTGCCCTGAAGCTCTTCTTTCGGGAGCTGCCCGAGCCCCTCTTCCCCTTCTCGCACTTCCGCCAGTTCATTGCGGCCATCAGTGAGCACCTGGGGCAGGTGGGGCGGGTGGGGTAGGCGCGCGGCAGGCCACCCCTTTGGCAGGCTCCCCTTGCCTGGCCGACACCCCCTATCTCCCCGTCCGACTCCCTCCCTCCGACCCTTCGCTCAACCAGAGTTGCAGGACCAGGCCCAGCGCAGCCGCTGTGTACGCGACCTGGTGCGCTCGCTGCCCGCCCCCAACCACGACACGCTGCGGCTGCTCTTCCAGCACCTCTGCAGGTGAGCTGGGCGGGCTGCGCGGGAAGCGGGAGGCAGGTCCAGGCTGGAGCACCCCCTCATCCCCCGCGTGTCCCAGCAGTTCCAAGCCCTGATCCCACTCACCCTCGCCGCAGGGTGATCGAGCACGGCGAGCAGAACCGCATGTCGGTTCAGAGCGTGGCCATTGTGTTCGGACCCACGCTGCTGCGGCCCGAGGTGGAAGAGACCAGCATGCCCATGACCATGGTCTTCCAGAACCAGGTGGTGGAGCTCATCCTGCAGCAGTGCTCCGACATCTTCCCGCCGCACTGACGGCGGGCCTGGGACTGGGGCGGCGGCCGCAGTCCTGCCACACCAGCTGGGCGGCAGAGGCTGTGAGCCGGGCCTCCTCCTCTCTGGGACCCTCCGCCAGCGCACAGCCGCAGGCAGATGTGACTTCTGTACCCTCGATTCTGAGGGTACGGTGACCCCTAGTGGGCACTTCGCAAAATGTGATTTACACCCCACCCCCGGCCCCGCCCCGCACGCCCCGTTTGGGGATTAATCAGGTTTTTTTCTCTGTGGCATCGCGCCTACTGTGCGTGTGCGATAGCGTGTGTGGGGGCGAGAGTTTGTTTTCTGGAATGGTGGGTGCTGGGAGGAGGAGCTTGGTGGGGGGCTTCCTGGCTGCTTCTGGTGGTCACCTCGTGGAGGCCTTCGCAGAGACCCTGTGGGTCCTGGCCCTGTGCCGGCACTGTGCCAGTTATGGAGCAGCTGTGACCACTTCCCCGCTGTGTAAACAGGACCGACCTAGCCTCCAGCGGGCGGCCGAACGTGCCCTTCTCAGGCCTCAGAGATGACCTCCTGCCTGGGCCTCTCACAGGCTGGCTGTGGGCCAGTTTCATCTGCTTTCCTGTTGGGGGTCCTGGGCCTGACCCAGTGGTGTTCTGGGCAAGGCTTCATCCTGTTCACCACATGCACACCTGGTGTCCTCGCTTGACATGGCCAGTTCCACACACAATCCCGTTTTACAGACGGGGACACTGAGGCCTGCAGCGGCAATGTGGCTTGCTCAGGGCCCAGTGAGTGATCTCACTCCCCGGAAAAGGCTCCTCCCACACCAGGGCACAGCCTGGATAAGGGGGAAAATCAGTCCTTTCAGCTACCACTCCTCTGACCGTTGAACCTATGCCGGAACTAAACTGGGTATGTTCCCTCTGGACCCGAGGAGGCCCCTGAAGGCAATAAAGGAGCCTGCCCCAGCTGTCCTGTCCCGGGGGAAGGGGACAGAGTCCTAGCAGGAGCTCCCAGCCCCTCTTGACACTCTGACAGTCAGGTATGCCCATGTGGGGCCCCCTTTGCCATGAAGAGCTGGGCAGGCCTGCAGGGTGTGGGGAAGGTTGACACAACCTCAAAAAAGGAAGCGTGAACCCCAGGGGACAGCAGGTTCCTTCCCTCCTCAGACACAAGCCACCTCAGCTTGCGGCTCTTGGCCCCCAGCCCCACCCGCCCACCTGTTCGTTTATGCAACAGACAATGACAGTTGATATTTATTGGAATTTGCATCATGCCAAGCATTTTGCCTGGATTATCCCATTTGTTTCTCACAGCCGGTATTTATTGTCTGCTCTTCTGTGCCAGGCACTGTGCTCTGGGCAGGGGCACGTCAAGGGCCGCCCACCCTGGTGGAGCTTATGGTCTGACGGGTGAGGCTGACCCAAGCCCACCCCATTGCCAGCAGGGCCAGGGCAAGAGTACACACACGGAGGCCTCATACCATATATCTAAATATTTAAAAATTATCAATCAAGCTAACAACTGTTAAATAAAATATGTTCTATTCTCCTACTTTGACAAATGTGCTTTGATAATGACCTGGCAGGCCAGGTTCTAATTTAAACTTCTTTGATTTTTCCAAGTTCCATGCCCAAATGTGGTGGCAGGAGAAGAGCGGCCCTGGGCTCAGCCTTCACCTCGTCTGCCCACCCGCAGAGCCCTCCTCCCCAAGCAGAGGCTCTCAGGCACATACATGGACACTGTAGTCCATGTGTGCAAACTGCCCATACCCCCTGCAGCCAGCTGCCGCTTGGCGACCCCACTGGTGATGTTGTCCACCCTCGAGGGAGTGTGCCTGGAGCTAACTGGGGAAGGCATGCTGGGGCCCCAAGTGTCAGAAGCGTGGTCTAAAGGGAGGATCCAGGCTTCAAGAGAGCCCCCCAGATTCCTCCTCCTGTGAGGAGAGCCACAGACACAGGTCTGGACTGGAGCCTTCTCCAGCAGATGAGCCACGGCAGGGACCACTCTCATTTGAGTCCGAGGTGAAACTAGCCAGACGGACACCAGCTAATTACTTGGTTACCACATTTGTACAAGAGCTGGAAGAAGCGTAGGGTGCTCGGAAGGTGCGTCACGGGGTGTGAGTGTTGCCCAGGGTCCCGAGATGCCTCTGCAGACGCCACATTTGAGAGAAGCAGTAAAGAATGAAGAGGAGTCGAGCAGGCGAGGGGGTAAGGGAAGGGTGCTAGTTGTTGGCAGTGGCACGTGCCAAGGCTATGGGGCAGGAACGCTTGTGGGGAGAACAAAATCTTAAGAGAAGGGCATTGTGACTGGGGCCCAGAAAGCCAGGGGCATGGCTGTGAGGTGAGGCTGAAGAGCTGTAAGGGACAGAGCCTGTGGGGCCTTAGGGATCGCCTGAGTAGGGGGCCTGTGCCAAGGACACTGGGGCCCCAGGACAAGGAGCCGAAATGCAGGGAGCTCCCCACCTCCTTCACCACCCCAGGCTTCTGACCCTGCCAGATCCTCAGAGGGCAAATAATATAGCAATAGGCAGAGAGGCCCTAGAATTACCACATTTTTTCCTCGAGGAGGAGTGTCAGAAATTACCCACCACCAATGAGGAGACCTCTAGAGAGAACGTCGTAAGTCACCTGCAGTCACATGGCAGGCTGGTGGCCGAGCCTGGCCCAGAGCTTGATTTGCACAGTCTGGGCACTTACCGTGTCCTCCACCAGAAGCCCAAGGCTCAGTCACGCAGCCCCAGCCCTGAGCACACGAATGGTGAGCACCGTGGGTGTGCATCAAATAGGTTGGGAACGCATTGGATCGTGTTCAGAAATACGAGGATATGTAGAAATGTCTTCCCTCGTGAAGCCAGGGGAGAGATACAAAAAGGAGCGGCAGTGGCACAGCTGATAAGGGCTGCCTCAGGGATCTCTCCCTAAGCCACTGCCTCTCAGCAGACGCCCTTGAGTCCTCCTGCAGCCTACAGGTCTGCCCCTGAAGCTACTCTCAGAAAGGCCATGGTGCCCACTTGGTTGCCCAATCCTGTGCGAATGAACGCGTGGACTGCCTGCTGTCCTCCTTGAGACACACTGTTCCTTTGCCTGCAGCAACATGGGGTTTTCATTTTCTTTTTTGTTGTTTGTTTGGTTGGTTGGTTGGTTGGTTGCTTTTGGGGGCTTTTTGTTCGTTTCTTTGTTTTTGGTTCTTTTTTTGAGATGGAGTTTTTCTCTTGTCGCCCAGGCTGCAGTGCAGTGGTGCAATATCGGCTCACTGCAACCTCCACCTCCTGGGTTCAAGCAATTCTCCTGCCTCAGCCTCCTGAGTAGCTGGGATTACAAGTGCCTGCCACCACATCCAGCTAATTTTTTGTATTTTTAGTAGAGATGGGGTTTCACCATGTTGGTCAGGCTGGTCTTGAACTCCTGACCTCAAGTGATCCACCCACCTCGGCCTCCCAAAGTGCTGGGATTATAGGCCTGAGCCACCACGCCCCACCCTTTTCTTTTCTTTTTTCTTTTTTTCTTTATTTGAGACAAGGTCTCACTCTGCTGCCCAGGCTGGAGTGCAGTGGTGCGATTATAGCTCACTGTGGCCTCAAGCTCCCAGGCTCAGGCCATCCTCTTGCCTCAGCCTCCTGAGCAGCTGGGCACACACCATCATGCCTGACTAATTTTTGACTTTGTAGAGATGAGATCTCACTACGTTACCCGAGCTGGTCTCAAACTCCTGGCCTCTAGTGATCCTCCTGCCTCAGCCTCCCAAAGCCCTGGGATTACAGTATGAGCCACTGTGCCTGGCTTACATGAGTCTCCACCACCCCACTCCTCCCTTCCTCAGCTCCCTGTGCACTCTGCTTGCCCTGTAAATGGTAATGCCCCACCCCCAGATTGTGCCCTCAGCCCACTGCTCTCTCCCTTCCACCATCCCTTAACCATTCCATCCTGCAGACAGCTACCAAGCCTGCACCCGTGTCCCCCAAATCTCTAGCACCAGCGTGAAGTGCTCTCTCCCGAGTCCCATGTGCAAAATCTACCTGCTTAAGGCACACTTCCATGTGGATAACTGCCAGACACTGGACATGCAACCCATCTGCAACAGAGCTCAAAGCAGCCCTGCTCCCTGTCTCTGAGCATGGCACCTCCAGTCCGCAGAATCCCAATCTTCTACTCCTAAATATGTCCCATCTTCCCTTGGTCTCCCTTATCTGGGTGATCACAGTGGCCTCTGAATGGGTGTCTCCCCTCCCCATTCAGTCCTCCATCCAGCAGTCACCTCTCCCACCTGTGTACACCAGCTGTGCCTGCGCCTGCCGCCCCGGTACACTCCAGGCTACTGCTTGCTTCCACAGCTTTGGGCCAACAGTTCCCCTGCCTCCTTCCCTTTCCCCTGGCCAGTTCCTCCTCCTCCTCCAAGCCTTAGCTCACACATGCCACCCACACCCTCCTCGGCTCTCCCGGAGGATCTCTCTCGTCACACTTAGCTCACTGGATACACTTGTGCCTCTGTGGCCAGGTCTCCCCACTGGGCTGTGGGTTGATACGAGTTCCCAAGGTACATCCAGGTTGTAGCCTGCATCATTACTTTTTCTTATTATTTTATTATTTTATTTTATTTATTTCTGAGATGGAGTCTCACTCTGTCACCCAGGCTGGAGTGCAGTGGCGCAATCTTGGTTCACTGCAACCTCCACCTCCCGGGTCAAGCAATCTTTCCATCTCAGCCTCCCAAGTAGCTGGGACTGCAAGCGTGCACCACCACACCTGGCTAACTTTTGTATTGTTTGTAGAGACAAGGTCTTACCATGTTATCCAGGCTGGCGCTGAACTCCTCCCACCTCCGCCTCTCAACGTGCTGTGATTTGAGGCGCAAGCCACCACACCCGGCCCTCATTCTTTTTAATTGTCAAATAACATTCCATTTATGGATATGTCACATTTTGTTTATCCACATGTCAACTGATGGACATTTGAGTTGTTTCCACTTTTTGGCTAATATGAATACTGCTGCCATGAACACTCACAGGTTTTTCTGTGGACGTAGCATCTCAGTCAGCCATTGCTACCGTAACAAATTACCATAGACCGGGTGGCTAAAACAGCAGAGATTGATTTCTCACAGTTCTGGAGGCTGGAATTTTGAGCAAGGTGACAGTAGGGTCAGGCTCTGACGAGGGCTGTCTTCCCAGCTTGCAGACAGCCGCCTTCTCACTGTGTTCTCACGTGGCACAGACAGATCGAGCTCCAGTCACCTCCATGTATCACAAGGGCACTGATCTCACCTTTATGGTCTCATCTGAACCGAATCACCTCCCAGAGCCCCACCTCGATATCATCACATGGAGAGTTAGGGCTTCAACATAGTAATGGGGTGGGAGGCACACTTGGTCGATGACTCATGTTTTAATTCTCCTGTGGAATTCCCAGAAGTTTGCTGGATTAAATTGCTGGATTAAAAGGAAACTCTACCTTTCACCTTTTGAGGAACCATCCAATTGTTTTCTATAGCTGCACAGTCTCCCACCAGCCATGTCTGAGGGCTTCTGCCTCCTCTTGCCTTTCCGCTTCCTTCTGCAACAACTGTTTCAGCTCTTCCTTCCCTCCATCCCCTGACCCTCCCGACCTTCCCTCTGTCTCAACAGGTGACCC